TGAGGACATGGGATTCATTGAAAACTTTCCGAGTGCTGTCCTGCCTCAATAATGGTTCAGCTTACTGTGATGTCCATCAGTACTTTTTAATGTGTGTTGTTATCTGAGTTATCTTACTGAGGAAAGAAAATTCTGAATTCTTTTATACAGAGCATATGCAAACACAGTGCTGCCAAGTTCTTGCAGTGTTATGCCAGCAAAAACAATCTTGGTTTTGATTAGTTATTTACCTGAAGAGAGAGATTTATCACCTTGAGTATTAGATTGTTTGTTTATATTTTCATTTGCCCTCAAGTAGTCACACATTTGGAGGTATAAATGCATAATTTGTAAACCAGTACTATAATTATAGGTAATGAACTGTAATAGAGCTAGAATAAAAGGAAAAGAGTGAGAAATCAAGAGGCATTCTGTACCTTTTTGAATTACTAATTTTTTAATCTCTAAATCAATCAGCCTTAAATTAATGTTAATATACCTATGGTTGATTTTAAACTGAGAAGAGGGCCTAAATCATCACTTGGCACCTTCATGGATTCCCAAGATCCTTTATCAATTTCATTTTCTCTGCTCCAAATGTTTAGGTTTGACCTGACAAAACATTCAGGGCTCAGTGTCTTGAAAGAGAATTCCAAAATTTCTGAGGCAAATAAACTGCTTATCCTTTAGGAAGTCCTAAAAGAACTACATATATTCATTAAAAAGTGTTTAATGATGTTAAACACCATTACAAAAAAATTTTCACCCTCAAAATGAAGGATACAGAATGAATGGAGTATTCTATTTTAATGGATTCAAAAATTTATTACAGATCAATTTCTGTCTTTTTTAATGATGCTTTGGGATATTGTGCCCAGTGAAACCACTGTCTTTGCTTCTTCACAGAAGAAGCAGAAGAAATGGAATAGCATTTCATTATTCATTATTCACAGGAAAATAGCTACCAAGCAGTCAGCTCCTGGTACTTTTTGGATATCATTAGACTTTAGTAGGTAGTGGAAATCTGTACTTTCTATTAGAAGTACAAGACCAGAACCAAATGTCAGTCTTTCATGCTTAAAGATTGCTTTTCCAATGACATTTGTACCCTTGGATAAGCATTTCTGGATCTTTTTGCTCTTTACTATTTTTCTATATGGACATTTTTGCCATCATCATCATTCAAATCCAGTTCTAGCTATGCAGTCACGGAGGAAATCCCCCTACTCAGCACTCTCACAACATCAATTTATTGCACTGCAGTGGGGTTGTGGGTTAACACTGGTGGGCAGCTAGGCAGCTCACAGGTCTTTGCTTTCTGCCTTTACCCTATGGGACCGGGGAAGAGGAATGGAAGAATAAAAGCAAGAAAACTTGAGAGTCAAGATAAAGAAAAGCCTAATAAGTGAAGGATAAGTGGGAGAGAAGAGAAAGAAAAGAAAAAGAGAAGTGAGAAGAGAAAGAGAACAAACCAGAACAAGTGATGCAAAGTCAATGCTCACTAACTCCCAGGGGTAGAGTGGTGACCAGTCAGTTTCTGAACAAAAGATGGCTAACCCCCTCTAAACTCACACTTTTAATTGCTAAGCACGATGTTACATATTATGGAATATATCTTTAGTTAATTCAAGTTCTCTGCTCAGTTGTGTCCACTCCCAATCCACTGTGCACCTCCCCAGCCTATTCACTTGAGGGGCCAAGAGAAAAATAGAAGGCCTTGATGCTGAGAAAACTCTGTTCAGCCAGAGCTAGAACATTAGTGTGCTGTCAGCATGTGGGTCAAAAGTCTAAACCATAGCACTGTATGAGCTCCCATAAAGAAAATCGACTCTATCCTAGCTAGAGCCATTACAAGTGGGCCAAACTTCCTCATGTTTCATTATGGAAGTGACACTTTGCTGTGGAAAAGAAAACAACTCTGGGTATAGTGAACTAATTTATGAGGTAGAGTATGCAAGTTTCTGAACTATATGCAGATACCCTCAAGGAAGAGGACAAAAAAACCTCTATAGAATTTAGGCTGCTGGCTGTTTTATTATCCACTTGAAATTCGCTCTTTTTCCATGCACCACTAGAATAGGTCTATGTTTCGGTTTCACACTACTAAGTGCAAAATCTCATGCATTTGTACGCTCTTTCCTGTATTATTGCAGCCTTGCGTTTGGAAAGGAGAGATCGAAGAAAATTGTGGATCGGTTCATGTGAAAAAACTGCTGCATTTGCAGAAATTCTATTACACAGCAATGCTCTGTGTTATTGGGTGTGTGAGTCTCTGAGGATACATATATCTACTTTCTATAGCACATAGTATACTAACAGTATATGAGAAAGCAGTTGGTTGGAAAATATTAGTGAAGAAAAATGAATTATAGAGCTTTTTTATTAACCCTTGTGGGCTGTTTTTTTAGTGCTTACACAGACACTTGACTCGGGAGGGCAGGTTCAGGGCTTTAATCATGAATATAGCCAGTTATCCACACTGAAAATTGCAAACAGAGGTCTCGGGGCTAACTGCATGACCAGAAGTCTTTCAGGTATTACAAAATCGATGACAGTAACAATCAATTGTATCTGTTAGATCAGGTATGAAGCAGTATAGAATGCATGGAATCTAAATCGTCTATTCCCATGAAATATGCTGGCTTTCAAAGAAACACTTTTTTCAATGTTATTCAATGTATTGGATCAGTCAGCAATCATTTCAGAAAATATCTCCTTCCTTTCCTGAATGTTCAGTTTTATATATCTGAAAAAAAGAGACACTTCTTTTAAAGGCTTTTATACTCTTGCATCTTGTTACATGGAAGTTGTAGTGTAATCCTATGAAATGTAAATAATTGAAGATGAAGATGATTGAAGATGAAGAAAGAAAAACAAAGATTAAAAAAAATTGTGAGCAAAGAAAATTACAGTGATAAGCAGTCTGTATCCTACCTACAGATTACGAGCTCTGCTGGCTAACTGCTTAGATTCATAGCATGTTGACAGATTCATGCTAGACAGGCACATTTTTCCTTTTAACCACATTTCTTTTCTTATTTTCCCTCTTTCCCCATATGCCACAGAAAAAAAATATATTCTGAGTCTCTTTCTCTCTTCCTGTGACATTTTCATTGCTGCTTCATTAACCAGTGCACCATCAGTGCATTTTATTACAGCTTCTCTCCTGGCTCACTGTGTTGATGCTAAAATGCAACTATGAACTGGCTATTGAAATGCTAGTCTGTGTTTAATCCTTCTGTCCATTCAAAAGATGAAGAAGTAATATCTTTGGCAAAATCCTGAATTAAACCCATATTTTATCTATTACCCTTTTTGGCCCACCAACTTGAAAAGCACTGGGGAGATATAGTGTGGGGTGTGACAGACTTAATTATCTATGTATTTACTGTAAAAGGCTGCGGGCATATCTCCTGTCTAATTAGTGTATTAAGACAATTTAGACTGATTTTATGTATATGCCTTCAACTGACCTTGAAAAACTACTGAAGTTAATGAAAGCATGCTTCAATTTCAGAATTTTTAGGAAATGAAAAGGCCATGCTATGATAGATATCCTCTGTGACATATACCTGCAGTTGTACCAGTAGGGAGGGGACATGATTTAAATACTATCTGGTTTCCAATGGGTTTCCTGGGTAGGGAATGCACTCAATTCATTTTTAAGTGAAGAGAAAGATGTAACTGCAAGTATGATAGAAGCATGTAAATCAGAGGAATAAAGGAGGCATATTCAGAATCTCATATGTAGCCGTGAAAAGGGAAATAAGAAATGTGATGGCCTCTTCAGAGCAGTGCAAATGTTAGAAAACGGGGCAGTGTGTGTGGTGAAAATTTTCAGAGGGAATGGAATAACGTGTTGTCAGTCACTTTCCATCCAGCCGCTGCCCCACCAACTGCAGCACTCCCTGCAACACTCCGTCAGAGCTCTCTGCCAGTGCTGCATGTTAGACAGCTGCGAGCCTGCATCTGTTTTCTGTTTTCCACTCAATTAAGGCAAAGAGAAAAACTATAAGTAAGACAAATTGCTCTGACAGTAAATTTTGTGACAAACTATGTCTGAAATATATGATTTTGTAGGAAATTGTGCAAGACTTTGTCTTCTTTTAAATGTGATTTTGCAAATTTTTTTTATTAGTACTTTTAAATTGGTGGCCTTATTTTTCTTGTAAGTACACAAAAGGCTTTCTGTCTTACACAGATCACTATTTGATTTGGGGAGGAAATGGTGAAAAAAGAAATGAAGCAAGGAAGGAGAAATGCACGTCATACTAGATACAGACAAGGCAAATCAGTAGCTAGTCTGCAAGGGACTATAAGAAAAGACTGTGACTCCTCCTGTATTAATTGAGGTGGATTACACAGTATGTACAGCTGTCGATGTCAAACTCATTAAAATTTTCATTATTCTTTATTTATTTTGTAGTTGTGACTGAGGGTCCCAGTCAAGAACACAGACCAGTGTGTACTCATAAAAGGAGTAGGGAAATTATATTACTCTTATTAGATTCATAATGACATGGACTCTGAGCATGGTCAGGCTGGCACCACCAAGACAGCCCCCTGACAGTGGACACTAGGGGCAGCAAAAAAAAAATGAATGTGACTGATAGTGGAGAACACAGCTGCTTTGCAGAGAGAACATTCAAGCCAGAATGCTTCACTCTGAGATGCCCCATACAGCCACATACAGACTGAAGGATGACAAGGCTATGTACCTTGTTTTTTGTAGTAATTCGTTACCTGCTTATCACTTACAGACATCATAACAGGAGAATATTTTGAATGTCTTGGGATTAAATCTGAAGGGCAGTGTAAAAAACTGGTAAAGGAGAATTAAGTAATAACTCCTTGGAAAATAGAGGAAAATAGACATTTGTGGTTTGGTTTACTGAGTAGAGAGATATAATTTAATTTCTCAAAAAAAAATTCCCTTTGATTTTGAAATATGGTCATTTTGGTCTCAAGTGGTAGCATTACATATCTCAATATATCTTCTCCTTCTTCCCTTCTTTTTTCAGGTTACCTGCGCAAATTTAACAAATGGAGGAAAAACAGAACTACTAAAATCAGGAAGCTCCAAATCCACACTGAAGCATATATGGACAGAAAGTAGCAAAGACTTATCCATCAGCCGACTGCTGTCACAGACTTTTCGTGGAAAGGAAAATGATACAGATTTGGACCTGCGATATGATGCCCCAGAAACTTATTCTGAGCAAGATCTCTGGGACTGGCTGAGGAACTCCACAGATCTGCAAGAGCCTCGACCCAGAGCAAAGAGACGTCCCATTGTCAAGACTGGGAAATTTAAGAAAATGTTTGGCTGGGGAGATTTTCATTCCAACATCAAGACTGTGAAGTTAAATCTATTAATAACAGGGAAAATCGTTGACCATGGCAATGGGACATTTAGTGTTTACTTCAGGCATAACTCCACTGGTCAAGGGAATGTATCTGTGAGCCTAGTGCCCCCTACAAAAATAGTGGAATTTGACTTGGCACAACAGACAGTGATTGATGCCAAAGATTCCAAGTCCTTTAACTGTCGAATCGAATATGAAAAGGTTGACAAGGCTACCAAGAACACACTCTGCAACTATGACCCTTCAAAAACGTGTTATCAGGAGCAGACCCAGAGCCACGTGTCATGGCTCTGCTCCAAGCCCTTTAAAGTAATCTGTATTTACATTTCCTTTTATAGTACAGATTATAAACTAGTACAGAAGGTGTGTCCTGATTACAACTACCACAGTGACACACCCTACTTCCCGTCAGGGTGAGGACCAACTTCTGTCTGAGACTGAAGCCTGGGGAATAAGAGGTTGTATGACAGGTCTGTAACCTCAAGGAGGAAGGCCACATCTATTGCCTGGAATGTGTCTACCTGCTGCTGCTGCTGTCAAATGGCTGCAAATATGTTAGTGGAAAACAATCTGATGTAATTTTTGCCCAGTCAGCTCCATGTATCAATCTAGGTGTAAATCACTATGGATTTGAAATAAAACCATACACATACACAGAGACACACATACTTTTCAGTGCACATTACTGAGATTCCTATTAAGAAAGCTTTCATTGTCTCATGTCTAAGGTTTAAGGATAACTTCTCATCAAGCAAAATGGATTAACTAGACAGAACAAGGTTTCTAACGCAGACTGTTATGGAAATCTCCTTGAAAGTCCTTCGAGTACATGCCAATCAATAATCCCCACTCATGCATTCTACTGCTTGAAGTAGCTGTACTGGTAAACAATACTGTAGGAGTAAATACTTGTTAAAGTGGGAAAAATGTGTGTCTAGAGCTCAGTATTTCTTATTATATGAACACAGCAAAGCGTCATGACTTTTTCCAGCATACAGTAGGCACATTCGAGGTGGTATTAGGTGGCTCTTTTTCCGTGGAGTGAGCCTCTTCCTAGTAAAGATGGGCAAACATTTGGAATTTACATGTGAGCAGACATACTGGTTTCATGTTTCTCTGACTCTTTAAGCTCTGATTCTTTAAACTTGTTTGAGTTTAGGCCGAGTTACTTAAAAACTGCAATTGATCTCTAAGAAGGAAAATGCCTGGCGGAGAACATGTAAGTTATAAGTGGCTGTCTTATCTTTATTACAAAATATTGTAACAAATTCAATATCCTAGTCTTCATTTGTATGAATGGTTTGTATTGTACATAATTTAACCAGTGTTATTTGAGCTGCTTATTAATATTAACTTGTAATTGTCTCTCTGCTTGTTATTGGTTAAAAACAATCAAGGAAATGAGGAATCCATTTTATCAATGTAGCTGTAAACTCCATTAAAAGACAGAACTATGTACAAAGCATTTATTCAGCTAAAGTATTGTTGAAAGCTATACATATACAACATTACTACAGTCTGTCTGTATTTAGATATTTTATTTCCAGAGAAAAATGAACTGTATATAAAAATAAAAAATCTTAAAGTTGAGTTTCAATATGTACTGTGTAGATAGTAGTTTAAATGGTTCTGACAAGCAGATAACACTCCAAGTCTAATATGGTTTTCAATATTGTCTCTTTGCATATGCACATATATATATACCTCTATCTATAAATTTGCGTGTGTGCATGTTTGTGTGTGTATATGTACGTGTGTGTGTGAGTGTGTGCAAATACTTATATATGTTGAACATGTAAAAATTTCTTGAGCCCTATTTCTAGCAAGGAGATTTTATTACTGAAGGGTCTTGCTAATTGAGTAGAAGCCCCCACTTGGATAACAAATTACAGGTGCGGGGCTTTGTTTAAAATGATCCATTATGATTTAAAAGTGGGAAAACATGGAGCCACTCTCTGTGTCCACAGGCCTGTCTTTGCCTTAATTCTAGCCTTCTCTGAGGTACTGATCTCTCTTTATGGAATGAAGAGATCCCTTTTTATGATACAAGGGAATTTTCTTCCTATAAGCAAAAAGCTCATAGCTTTTATATATATATATATTTTTTTTTCTTTGTGTGTATGTGTGTGTGCGTATAGTGGCATACTTTACCCCCAGCATCCAGGAAACCAGCAAATATAAGAAGTCCATGCCTAAAAGAAGACTGCCCAAAGAAGAACTCAGTATTTCATATCATATCTTTCAGAATTTTCATTCCTGGTAATGTTTTCTTCCATCCTTCCTCCCTTACCTGCAGGTTCTGTGCTCTTGTGTCAAAGCTGTGAATGCAGATATGGGTCAGCTTCCAACTATGCCCAGTGTTATGAACAGCTTCTCCAAAATCCCAATAAACACTCCAAGAAGTGAAAAGTTTGAAACAACTTCCAGTTGTGAACCCCTCTTGCTGAAATGTGCAGAATCTAAATGAGACTGAAATAAAACAAGTGGATAACATTATTGAAAGTAAATGTTTTCCCATTGATGTGTGAGTAGGAGAGGAGACTTCCATATTATTATTGCTTTGGCTTCTTCAAACAGATATGCTTGTGGGAATTTCTTCACTATGTATGACATTTCCCAGGACAAACTTGTGACCCTTGACCCTGTGCAGATTTGGAGAAAGAAATTGTCCAAACCATGCCATCCGTATTCTGATCTCACTCAGAAATATGCTAAGATGCAAATTTTTTTAATTTGACAGAAATTGTGATTAAAATGGTAGTGTTTATCACTTGTGCTCTACGAAAAGTACTTGTTCTGAATATAAACCATAAGTTATTTGTGTTGTTACCAGTAGTTAAAACTTGGATCTATTAAATCAATGGGAATTTTGTTATTGATTTCAATATAAATTTCCATTTAATAGTATGTTGAACTCCAGTGTTAAATATGATTAGCAATAGTAGCAATCTGTATTACAATTGAACATTACACACTTTGTGTTCTTGTTTATATTCCTGAAAAATGGATGTGAAATACTATTGCTGGTACAGTTTCATTATTTTCTATATTTTTAAAACTTCCCATAAATATATGAAATATATACATTCTGTTAATGTGTAAATATTTGTCCTCTTTTCAGATAACATCCATACAAAGAAAGAATTATTCGTCATGCAATGATTTTAATCCTATTAATTGTGGTAGTTGGTACTTTATCTGCCTCTATCACAGTTAGTCATATTATTATTTAATCTTAAACCTTTGAAGAACTTGTTATTCTTCATAAGCATTCTTGAGTTTGAACTTGAAAGAGTTCTTTTGGTGGTTGGGTTGTGAAACAGTGATCTAATATCAAAATAGATAATGTATAACTTAGGCGCTAGTTTATTGCATTTCATTCAATCTATTTTGGGAAATATTTTGTGTTTGCTAACTTTGTTAAAGAATGTTTTTGGTTTTGCCATTTGAAAAAGGAATTTAATGAATGTGAATGTGGTAATTCAGTTAAACAATGTGTGTATGGGTATCTGGGTCTTGCACATGAACAATGCCTTAATGGAGTGCTAGGCCAGGCAAATGTTGCCATAGTATAACTCACTAATTCTAGACAAAATAAAGATGTATATCTCTAAAGATATATTTTTTAGGATTAAAGAAGTTTAAGTTATTTATTTTTAAGAAACCAAGAGACTGTTTCTGGTTTTTGTTGGTTTTTTTTTTTTTTACCATTTATATCATGCTTTGCGTCTTATTTTCACTACAAAGAGAAATCACAAAAAGGGATATTTTAATGGAACCAATTACCTGATGCAATTACCAGTTACCAATAACCTGGTGCAAAAGTACATGGATCATGCACTTGAGCAAATATCAGCATATTATACTTGCCTTGCATGGATCAGTGATACAATTTATGTGTAACTTCCTGTGCTTTTGAGAAAAGGAATCCAAGATACAGGAAACAGATGTGCAAAAAACCACTGCAAAACTCACTGATCAAAGTCTAAACAGTGACGGAAAGCTGTAAGATATTCCCTTGTTAGTGTTGTCAAAATACTTGAACATGAGACAGAAAATATACTTCCTCATGAAATTGCTTGTAAAGTTTTATCCTTTTCTCCCCTTTTTTCACTGATAGTAAGCAAATTGATAAATTCATCTTTACACAGACATTGTTTTTTTAAAGTTTCCCTTGCTTAAAAGATATGATGTCAGAAAATGTTGAAAATTACTATAGTAATTTACAATAAACTAAGAAATATTCAAACTCTATTTATAGGAGAGCAGAATGGAAATCTTCTTGTGTTCGAACTCATGTTAGCCTAGAGATTTAAGTAATACTGCTGGAGTAATTTGGTCAGAGGGCAGTTTTACCATGATTAATCATGATATCCTCATGTGTCCTGAATCCTATGTAACTTGCAATTCTGTAAGAATATCATAAACTGCTCCAAAAATTACGTCTTAGAGAATTGTATAGGAAAACAAGGATTAAAAAGTATCTACTACTCTTACAGTAAAATCAATCTAATGCTTAGAAACATGATCTGAAGAATTATTCTTCACCAGAAGAGAATGAACCTCGGTCTTTGTATCATGTGGATCAGTCTATGTCCTTCTATGGCAGAGGTAATGGAAGAGAAGCTTTTCTCTAGTGATTTGTACTTAACTACATGTCTAGCGCTGCCAGAGACCTCTAATGGCTGCATCAAAGATTTGTTGTGCTAGGAACTGCATAATACAGAAATGCATACGATATCTATACAGGAATAATTTTGATGCCAGAACTCTTAATTTTGAAGACAGTGTACTGCAGAGTTCTTGTGAACCATGTATTTATAAATTTAAAGCATACTGTTTAAGATTTTTTTGAAAATATACACAGTTCTCATAAAAGAGAGATATATAAAATGAGATACAAAATCTCATACATACATCAATGAAATACAAACAACCCTGACCTTTCACAAAACTTCTGATTCAGTCTGGAATTCATGGGAAGTGTAGCTTTTCCTGCAATGGAAAATTTAATTATAATTTATGCTAAAGTCTTCAGATGAGTTACTGTTATGACTTTAATTTATGAATATGAATACTATTTCCAAAAACATTTTGACAGTGGAAGCACAGAGTATCACCTAACAAAAAGTATTTTCCTTTTTTTCTTTTTTTTTTCTTTTCTAAAGGGACAATATCTTACTGAAATTATGCTAAAATTGACAGACTAAATAATTTTCTAGGTAAAATTGAGAAAATAAATATTTATGGATGTGATTAACACTCTTTTCTGTTCATGAGAGGAACACTTACTAAAAATAAACTGTCATTTGTAAAGTTACAATAAATTGTGGGACTGTGGGAATATTGTGTTTCCTTGGGTAATAAATATCTGACAATATGATCTAATACATGTAGCATGATCCCTTCAAAAGGTTTGATGCATCCTACGGCTAAAGATGAATTTTTTTCATCTTCTCCTGTATTCTATGCTAATTAGTTAAAGTACCCAAACTAACAAGAACATTACTTTGTTTTGTACAGGAGTTAATTTTCTCATTGGAAAATATCTATACGGTTTTTTAATTCTGTTTGAAAGGCACACCTGGTGGATGTCTGTTTAAGCTTGGACTGATGCTCTGTGTATGGTATACATAATCTTAAATCCTTTATATTAGTTTGCCTTTGGGATGAAGAAAGAAATGTAGTTTTTCGTAGGTGCTTTGGATCAGGAGCAAGCCAATGACTCACATGAACTTTAATTTTAAGAGAGCTATGATCCTGTTGTCAAAGAAAGTATTTGAGAAGATGGAGCATGTATGAGATTTATTCCTTGTTCAAAGTGTACTTCAGGCGTGTATCAAATAGAATATTGCTATGAGGGAAGGCTTTAGTGGTGTGTGAAATGAACTTCTGTCTATTGTTAACAGGAAATTAGAGGGACCAAAAGAGAATTTATAAAGTCGAAACACTTCATACACATCACTGAAGATGTGGAAATTAGCTATCTCAAAATAAAATCAGAGACTATGTCCAGTATTTTATGAAAGGGTTATTGAGTTTCGGGGAAAAGCCCAACGTATTTACAGATCTGTTCATTAGAAAACAAGTAAAACTAGACTTAGGCATAAATAACATGAGATCTTTAGTTCCTCATCTAGGTCATAGCAAAACTAAAATGAGATGCAAAAGACTATGTAGAAACAGGTAACCTGGGGAAAAATGGGATCACGTATGGAGCATGAATAAAAAGCCATCTTAATTATTTCAGTATCCAATAGCTACAGTTGTGATGAAATTTATTATGCCATATTTAGAAAGCATTTTTGAATTTCTTGCGTGAAAGTATTTTGATTAGTCATAGAGTGGGGAGGTCTTGAGAATAAAAAAGGAATTTTTTGTAAGGAAGTTTCTACAATTGCAACATACTCCCTCCAGTGGCGTATGCTCTGGACTCCTTTCAACTGGTTACACGTAAAATCCAGAATTGTAATTGATGATAGTGAACAAACCAGAAATAATAGAACTTGACCGGCAGGGACCATGGTGATCTTGAGTTCTTTGCATGTTTGTTTTGCTGCGTTTGTTTGTTTCTGTGTGTGTTTTTGTTTAAACCTA